CACCCCCCACTCCCCGACCTGAGCTTCCCAGCATGTCCCGAATATACCACTTTCCCCGAGACCCTTTTCTCAGGGTCTGCTTCTGGGACGGTGCAAACTGGGCTGCCCTTCCTAACACCTGGGCTGTTTGTGCCCGCCTCCCCCTTGTCCTATTACCTCTTGGGCCATAAGCTCCTTCAAGCTACAGAAACTCATCCTCATTTCCTTGCTTTTCCCACAGTGTCTAACCATGCTCAGAACCTTACAGATGCCACGAACACCCATCAAAGTCATTTATGGAGTCATGGCTGTCCCCTGACTACAGATACTGGCCGAGGGTCAGTGTTGAACCCTCTTCCTTGCAGTCGCTTCAGCTCCTGTTTGAGGTGCTGGTCAAACCCGAGAAGGTTGGTAAAGGTTCTCAGGCACCAACTCTTCCCCGAATCACTGAAGCAACTGCCCTGCCAAGGAGAAGAGGAGCCTTGGACTGCGCTGCGGACTCACGTGCAAGCCCACTCCTCTTGAAAATGCCTTGGGGATCAGGACTAATGGGACCCTGCAGGATCTCAGTCAACATCTGAAATAAGCTCACATTCATTGGTTGTCCTTTCTTGCCCACTCACTAGTGTGCATGGTCCCTAACAGTTGTATAGTGTCCAGTACTTGGTCACTGGACAGAATTGGACTAGGCTGGATAAGCTGAGAACTGGGCTTCCTCCCAACTCGCAGCTGTGACTTGTCCCCGAGTGCCACCTACAAGATGCCCAAGGACTAGGGAGGCTGGGCTCAGAGGACAGCTGAGAATAGTCAGTTCTCCTGCTCTGCACCTGATGTATACTACTTCAGTTAACCCACCCTGCGAGGCAGGGTAATTACCTTCCTGCACCCATCACACAGATGAGAAAACTGAGGCTCAGTGAGGTTCAGTAGCTCATCCAGGATGAGGTGGCGATGGGCAGAGCTGGAATTCACAGCCATGGTTGGCTGGTTCCAGAGGCAGTGGTCTTCTCCTGGCCTGGTGCTGCGGGTCCATCTAAGGTTTAGTTGGACTTTATTGTGGCACCCTTCGGCAGGACAAGGGCATTTTTGACTGAGAGGCACGTATCAGTTAGATACTGCTGCACTGCAAACTGTCCCAAACATGAGTGACTTTTAACGGCTATCCTTTATTCTTGTTCACCCATCTGTGTGTCTGCTGAGGGTTGGCTGATCCACGCTGGGCTCAGCTGGACAGCTTTGCATCAGCTGCAGGTCTGGCTGGCCTTGGGTCCTTCCTGCAGGGTGGGCTCAAGTCACCTGGGTTCATTCTGGGGCCCAGGCTGTAGGGGCAGCAGTTATCCAAGGGGGTAGCTCTTCTTTCCGTGTTGGCTAAGTTACGAGAGGGTGAGCAGAAACAGAAGTGGCACCCTGCCATTTCAGCCTTGTACCATTGGCCAAAGCAAGCCCCTTGGCCAAGGGTAAATCAAGGGGCTGGGAGTGACTCTGTCTCTAGTCGGGGGGGAGGTGGTCTGCAAAATCACAGGACAAAGGTGGGGGAGTACAGGGAGAAGTGAAGAACTGAAGCCAGTAATTTTACCTCCAAGGAAGACAAGAATGAATAGAAGGGAATGAATGGAGGGTGGGGAGAGTTCCTAGTGTTTATGGGGAAGATTTTAGGGACAGGCATCATCCCCAGTGTTACTCCAATTACACGACACAGGGGACAGCTACTCATGTCTTTAGTATCTGCGCCAGGGTTCTTCAATGGAGGGTCCTAAGTCTTGGGGGTCATCCCCTCCATTCTTTCATGATCTAGACACTAACCTGGTTAAATGGATGGATTTCAGCTGTGTCGGAGGAGTGTGGAAATCGAGTGAGGAAT